TACTGCCATTCCACTCCAAACACTTAAGGTTTCCTCACATAGAAAGTCATTTACAAAAACAAAGGATCGTGCGGGACTGAAGAGACTCTTTACAAGTTACTCCAAACACAATGACTTTGTCATAGAAGGGGCAATACTTGACACTTTTAGCTCCACCTCACATGCTAGAGATTTCCGAATGAGGAATGAAGAACGCAACTCACCGGTCACTCCTGTTATGGTGTGTGCTCTCAAAGAAATCCTAGAGAAGCAATTTAATCGCAAAAATCACGGCATTTATCCCCTCGTCGACAAAGTTAGGCTATGCAATAGCTCTGGAGATATGCGTGAATTATTCAACAAGACATCTGCAGCTAATTACTTCAAGTCTACAGTCCCATTACTCAGTATACACGCTACTGCTAATATGGCACAACTTCCATCTTTACTCTCACCAAAAGAAATTTGTACCGTTGAATTCACTTGTGCTAACATTACCCAAACTATCAGAACTCTCAAAAGCCCAAAAGATTTTGGCACTGACGGTGTATCATCCTATTTTTATCAATATGGTGGCCCTGACATTCCTATATTACTGTTCAAAGTCATCACAATATCAAATAATAACCATATATATTTCGTATACTTGCTGGTGGATTTGGAATTTTATAGACTTCCAGACACTATGGATAATTCACTGATTATTATTGTTCATTCTTCATCACTTATGTTTCACTTCAGTGCATGTGCTAAAACATTGCTTACACCCCACTATTAACATAATGAATTATAATTCCCGCATGAAATTGACATGCCTTATTTTTCTCACTTAAAATTTAGATTTGATGCTGTATCTCGTAACGTATTCGGTCGAAAGCAGGCTTCAAAAATAATCTATTCACTTATTTGTACATTTCTTTTTCAACGTTCCTCTCACATAATTCAGAGTTCAATCTATATCTAAGTTAACAAATCATATTACATATTTCATGTTATACATATTATATATGCATAATTAGTGTACATATGTTCATGTCTGTAAAAATGACTAGTTTCCGTCCCAGAAATAAATTATCATTATTATTAAAAATCCCAGGTGCTGTTCATCTGAAGCTTTACCACCGACAATATGGAATGCTATTGGAAGCTCTCTTTACAGGCACGTCAGGGAACATGGGAGTGATGACATTATCCCTAAATAAACATAACATGAATCATACCCACACTCCTATTTGGTGATAGTCTGAAAGAACTGGATAGTATTATATGACCAGTCCTCTGATCCATGTCCTATTTCTAGTTCTGCGTTTCCGACATCCTAATCTGGAAAATTTCCTAAATAAAAATTGGTGACCTACCAATATCTTGAACTGCAGCTCACCTGAATTGAAAGGGTGTTGAGCACAGAGAGCGGCAGCCCTGGGAAACCGCAAGGAGCAATTCTCGGTTCATTGCTATCCTTTGTTTTCGTAAGCAGCCGCCGTTGAATCATAGGCCCCCCAACATTTCTCTATACAGAGCTTTCAAAGCTATCGAAGGCCATTGAAAATTGAGAGAAGTCGAAGACAATTAGTCCAGAGAAGTGGGCCGCGTAAGGCTATTATTCAATACTAACAAGTCTTGAGCCCGTTCAGCCTCACAGTGGTAGAACAGAGATACTATACCACCCGAGTGGAACGTGCTTCCATTAGACGGAAAAGGGAATTGATCTAAGCTATGGTTGATGGCGAAACTGTACACAAGCGCAGGCTCATGGGATATTCAGCCATATCAGAACAGAGCTCCCTATTGCTCGGTCGTACCGCTAGGAGTATTTACGCCTGTGCTTTCCATGTGGATCTACGAGACGCATGCGAGCCAGATAGAAGTGATTCAAGTGCCGGGTAGCTCTCGTGCTCCTCTGTGGTCAAGCTCATCAGAAGTGTACCGAATTTCACTCAGCTCAGACAGTCGAATTAGTTCAAGTCACAAGAATTCTGGGGAACCGATAATATATTCAGATGAGCTCGCAATTTGCGAGTTATATATTTTCTGGTGAAATTTCGCAAGTCTCCTCTAGGAGGTGAAATTATCCATATCACAGTATGCTATCTGCTTGTTACCATACACTTCGCGCCGGACACACTACTGATGAGCTCCACCCAAGTGAGCGTAACAGCTCTCAGGTGTTCAGACCACTTTGATCCGGCTAGCGCGTACTACTGGTTGATGTGTGCAGTATCTAACTTCCCATATAAATCACTCAGTGGCATAAACCAAAATGCATTCAGAGACTCGAAAATAGAATTAGGCAGATTTTGATTGGCTGGTGGCTAGCTGGCTTCCTATTGGTCTAAAATATAAGTTAAAGCGGCAATCTTTTTACTTTAACACAGAAATTTACTGTCAGTATAATTTAAGGCACACCTTACCATAATACAATGGCGTGTTAATTTTTTTTGGTGTGAGTGTGGTGTGATAGTCACACACTATTTGGATGCATTGGTGGTATTTAATGTACACTGAGATGTGTGAGAATGTCTAGTAAATGAATATAAATCAACAATAGTTTTGATGCGTTTATTTCAAGACCAAAATAGGATGTATGCATTTTTGCTTACTAGGTGAATATAATTCAACTACAATTTCTAAACATTTGATGTGTCTTTAATTAGGACACATAGATATATGTACGTATTAACTGATCCGCTATTTTAAGCAGTCACTTAATTGATCTGTGGGATTTGTACATACTAGGTCAGCATAAATCAAGTAAATTTCCTAGGTCACAACGGTGGTGTATAAGCACTGAAATATATACTATTGTTCATTTACTCGTAATCATTTTGTTTTGCACGTTAGGAATTTTTAAAACCATTAAATGATGTTGCGAAGTACTACTACTGCCTCTACTTCACGAAACGAGTCATCTATATTGTGTACTGTGACAGCTATATTCAAAAGGGTAATGCTCTGCTGTGTATTTTGTACATGGGTACGATTTAAGGAAGCTTTAGGCGCATTTATGAAGGTACTAACTAAGTTGTTCATTATTTCTTTGAAAGGAATCAAACGCATCCTATCGGGTTGATTCAGGGAGAAAAGGTCCATCCTGTCCTGTGGAATACGAGTATGTGAGGTATAAATGCACTTTTGGAAGTAAACGTGATCCCGAGGTGCTTTAATTGTTACTCTCATTTATTCTTAGGAATAGTGATAGGTGGAAACATCAGTACAACACGACGGACAACATTTCGCGAGCCATCCGCTTAACACTGAAACCGAACGACGCGTTTCGAAGTGCTCATAAACGTTTAAGAAGTCGTGTCAACAGTCTAAACCACAGAAATCCGGATGTTGCACTGCGGGAAACAGAAGAGTTCACCAGAAGGTTGGACAGTTTGCTAGCAAATGAACCGCAAACAACTTTAAAATTACAACGTTCCCCTTGTCAATCGATTATTTTTGTGAAAATGTTTTTATTACCTTATTGTTTCCATTGGTATTCATAATATGACCATATATGTCTAAACTGCTGTTACACTTCCTTTCCCTTCGAATGCCCGAGAGCGACATTTTAAAGCATACTTTGGTTGACTGTTTCGTGATGAGAGTGCTTCGGAAGTCAGTTATAAATTACACCGATCTGTGCCTTATTTACTACCTTTTATCGGCCGAAGATTTATAGTTCATAGCATATCCTGAGTAACGGTGACTAATACGATTTATCGCTTATGTCGTAGCAACCTCAGGTTTAGAACAATTCTAAACTTATTCTAACCTATTCTTCAATAATTAAATGAAGATTTTATCTACCCACTATCTTCTGAAATAACGCTGACCATATTTAAAAAGAGAGCTGGGTGTAAAATAAAATCTTTTCGTTCTGAAGTAACGCTAGTCCGTGCTTGATATGTCCTATGACGGCTGGAACAACGCTGATAAGCAAACCGAGCCGGTTCTAATCTACTCCTGCAAATGCTTAGCAAAAGGAAGGGTGCTGAATTAGTGCCAGTCATGCTGAAAACCTGCACTGAGTTCTAGCCTGTGCCATTAAAGAATCCATTTCAGGACGAATTCAGAATTGGCTCACTATAGAATGTTAGAATTATTTCAGAATTAGTGGGACTTAATTCAGTATTATTATAAGCTTGGGACTCTTAAAAGACCAAATTTAAAACAATTCTCAGCAAAATCTAACCAACGCGTCAATAATGCCTTTTTACGGTAAATGAATACTTTAGCTACTTGAAGTGAACCCAGTATGTACTGAAATAATCTTGGTCCTTCTTGAAAAGAAGCACTGGAAGCTGAACCTGGGCTAGAAATGCTGCGATAAGGCTGGCAGTCTGCGTCTAGAAATGCCCAGAAGAGCAAGGCGGCCATGCTGATAAGCCACCGCACAGTTCCGGTTCAAGCAAATAATCAAACAGTGACAGAACAATTGGGGGGTTTACTTATTAAATAATGTTACTATATTAGGACAGTATACGTGAATTGGCTCAGTGATTGCAGGTTTACGATAATCTTTAACTACCAACATAATAACTGGGAACTTACGGCTAACAATAAGCTAAATAGTAGCACCCAGTGACAAAAACTGACCTGCACACTGCAAAATGAGCGCAACATCCAAAAAGCCATTAAAATTGAATGGAAAACGAATTCACAAAAACATATAACCAGCAGACGCTGGAACCCATCATGACCTTGAAACTGACTATAGTGTATTTCTAGGGACTAACCTCTTAGAATTAAAAAGAGGAGCAACCAAAACTGTCACCAGGCTAAAATCCTGACCATATGATGACTGAACTCGGAATTTGGGTCTGTACAGTCCATACAATTCACCAAAAATCCACAGTTGTTCCGAAACAAAGAAATGGACCTCCGAATTATAGAAACTCTGTTGGGAATACCAGAGGCTATTATGGTGGTAATCGCAAGCTTTTAAGGCTGAATATCAATTTTTCATCATTAAATTTTGTCTAGTAGATAATGAAGCCATGTTATGCATCATGAAACATTATTCTGAACAATTGTGAAATAATCGTTTTAAACCTCTATTGGTTGTCTTCAAGGAGTGAGCGCGAAACATTCAGTCAATTTGTTGGGGCGCATCACAGGTACTGGAGGTTAGGGGTTGCAGCTTTCTCGCTATCACCAATGTCTGCTGCAGTTCGTAGATTGAAAAAGGTAGGTCTAATCATTTGAATTTAGGTTTCAGATCGTAATTCGTAAGGCAGCTATCTTCCTAAATTAGTTGGTTCAATTGTACATACGCATGCGTCATGCATGACTGGATTATAAATATATTTATTTAATTTAAGCTAAATACGCCTCACTTTATAAGAGATTCCCTATTAGCTTATTTTAAAGGGAACGTTATGAGTCGTAAAGACAACAGATGACAGTTTTGAAGATGCAAATGTGTCGTCATAAACTTTCTGTCGTAGTAGAAACGTTATGTAAAATCTCACTAGGAAAAATAACAGTTGCTTTATAATAAAGGTAAATGTTTAAAGTAATGTCTACTGTGTAAGAGTCAAAAGTTGTCTCATACTGGAATGGACCATTACTCATGCTACTTGAGGAAGTCGTGGGGCCCTACGTGCTAACCTATAATGCAAGACAGTTTTCAGGCCAGGAATGAGGCGTAGTCATAAAGAAGTCCGATACTCTCGAAAACAAGCACGTGCGTGAATGACACACACTTTCTGATTCGAAGACACTACTCAACTTCAATCAAAAGATTGGATTGAAATGATGTGCCAGGATGATACTAAGCTAAGCAGTCATTGTTCCCTCTCCCAAAGCCTAGGAAGAGTTTCCATCTTAAGTGATCGTGACTAAGAACCCTCAGTGTTATCTCTCCTGTGGCGTCCTCATAGATGTACTGATATGGTAGGAAAGCTTTGTTTTCGGTATTAGCTATTGTCCTTTTAATTAGAAACACCGTCAGTATACTCGATAGTAATTAGGATTGTTTTGGCTGTTTTTAAATAAAACTGTAGAATTTGTTCGCAATTACTGCTGGATTAAGAGAGATGAATAAATTGGTTGGATGTGTTGGCGGAACTTCTACATATACAGTTTAAGTTGAAGGTGGACTAAGTTATTGAGTGATAAAATAAAACTGAGTCGATTTGTGTTTCAGAGGTTGTGAAGTCGTTATTTTGTAATATAAGTAAAGATTATTATGAGGACTAGTAGCCCGGTTGTTGTTAGTGTCAGGACTGTAAGTTGGGTTTTGATTATTCAGATTAGAGGTGGGGTCTTGATATTATCTCGGAACTTAGTGTGACATCATTTAATGGTAAAACAGTAATCTGAAAGTCAGGTTTTGTAACGGTATTGGAGCACTTTCATTTTCATTAATAATAAATTTGTTTTATACTAGAATGGAGCGATACGGATAAGTTCGTTGTAGTTTACACTTACAGATGGTGTATGTATAGGAAATACATGTAGAGTTATTTATTGCCACAGGGTACTCTTAGTGTTCTTGTTAGCAAATCGATTTGATTTCTCCAACACAGTGCTACCTGCGTTTGTCGATCACCTGTATTGCTCATTTAGTCTCAAGTGTTCAATGCATTGTTAGCTATAGTCAGGGGAGATGTCTACTGACGGTAAGTCGTAGACGAGCTGTACTTATGTCACTTGTCTAGTAACATGTTTACAACTAACACATTAAATCAGGAAGATTTAACCGTATCCGATACATTTTTCGGGAAGGCAGGTAGGCGCTGAAGAAAGTACAAGTATTATTTTTCGAGTTATTACTACGTAGGTTATCGCACGTTTGAAGGAGCTGAGTTTATGTACCTAAAGAGTGCTTCCTTATCTTTTGTTTTGCAAATGTCATTGTTTTTTCTAGTCAATCGACAGTAAGTAAACATTCATTAGTGAAACATTTCAACCACCTAACAGTTTTAGGTATATTGTAAATATGGACTCAGAATGCACAGGGTGTATAGATGATGTTACTGTTCAGTGTAACTCCACAAAGAGCCGTTGTGAGTAACAGAATCCACGTGAACATCCTGAAAGCAATCTTGACAATGCTTTCTACATTGGAATAGCAGTAGGACCTATATGTTTTTATTGATAAATTCGAGGTATTTTGTATGCCACCAAGTCTTCTAAAGTGGATTCCTAGCATCTCAAAGACATACCGGTGCAGCTTACACTCTAATGCATCCCTTAGACCAGTAATTAATGAGCTGTTGCTATTTTCTGGGGGGGGGGGAGAGGCAGCTTTATAGGGACAAAATGTACAACCACCTTAAAAGTCGATGCTTCAGTCCCATCAGTTAGCTTACCTATAACGCATGTAGTTCCCTTTATGAATTTTGACAAAGCAGTGGGGAAACGTAACTTACCTGAAGCGTGTAATATATTTGAGCAACTAATTTCGGACACTTACTGTTCAAGCGTAATCACCAAATTCTAATTGCTGAATAGACACTCAGATTGGCACTCAATAGAACTTAATATGCGGCTAAGCCCATTTTTGTGTAGAAAACAAAATTTATCTTGCCATGTAAGATCTCATAGCATCTGAAATATTGTGTTTCATCCCGCTGCTAACCAGTTTACATGTATATGCGATCACATGTACATATGGAGGTGGCGTCCGTCAGGGATACCCACTAGATATGATAGAGAAGATTTGTAGCTCAGGTGGATGATTTTGATGTGGGATACCCACTATTCCCATTTCTATTCAATTTTATCATGGATGTACTAATGGACTTAACCCCAACAGAGACTCAGGGATTGACTTGTTACCAGAGAATAATCTCGTTGACTTAGAATATGCAGATGATATAATCCTCCCACCTGAATAAAGACGCTGACAAAATGCAGAGTCTTCTGAACACACCTTGAGGAGCACCAATCTTCGAATGTTTGGATTGCGGCTCGCTCCCGCCGAATGTAAGATGATGATACAGGACTGCACTACAATGATTCCTATCCTAGAAATAGGGAGTATATTGTTAGAGCACGTTAACCACTTCACTTATTTGGGAAGTTGTGTCAACCAGTACCAGAGGATTGATCGCTGGCGAAATCTCAGCACGGACACAGAAGGCTAGTTTCGAATATACCAGTTTACGCCGTCCCTTGCACGTGGACGTGATATCCGGCTAGGTGTCGACCAAAGAGGGGTGTACTGGTCAGAAATCCGCTCCGTCCTCCTTTATGGCTGGCTGTGAGACATGCTCATTGAGAATGGAAGACATGAAAAGACTGGCTAGCTGCCTGTGATCATTGGTGTGTGAGTTCTATCTCCCGTGTGAAGTGGAATAATAGGGTGAGCAATATCGAGGTTAGGCGTCGATCAAGTGCTAGATAAGGAGGGGAAATCAATCGACGAGGCTGTGGAGTTGCACCGATTGAGATGGTTAGGACATGTGTTGCGCATGCCTAGTCTAACCATCGCCTTCCTCGACGGGAAATGTTAACTGGTTGACATACGGTCAGGTTACAAAAGAGCTAGTGGTGGTCAGACCAAAACATGACTTAATCAGTCAGTGAAATCCACAACAATTAGTTTAAACCAGCCAGCCACAAAGGAAGGGATAGACTTCCTTGTCGGGTATTTCGGGTTGGTAAAAACCGATGAAGGCTGGAGACAATCGGTGATATGACTCAAAATCCTCGTTCTCAATGGCTGGTTCAGATGCATTCACTCCTTGTGACTTATAATTCCCAATTTGAAACTATATTCTTCCTCGTGATTGCTATTACTTTTGTCTCATATCCCTGTCTACTGTCTTGCATTTGTTTTCTAACTTTGCGTGGTACATGAAGTGTGGCGACTTGAACTACTTCACATCGGTGCAAAATTATGTGTTAAAAACAGGTAGACAGACATAGGAAGGACCCATTGGTCTCTGCAAGCTGATCATGGAACAAATAAATTCGTCGGGCTCAATTAACTTTGGAAGAAAAATGCCCAACATATTCCATTGTAGAGCATAATATAGAGACGGGTCATGAAACCAGTGTGATTGGTGCTTTTAAATCTGCATATAAGACAGGTTTAGGTCATGTACTTAAATTCGTTAAATCTTAACCATAAAAAGGTATTTAAACTTGTTGTGTTCAAATATTACTTGTTATTATTCTGAACATGCTTTGGTAATCTCAATTCAGAAATAAGGTTAATTATACTTAATCATACTGTACACCCCCGTTTTTATTTCATACTTCCCATCTGTGGTCGAGATCCGTAAACATTTTGACCTGTTGATAGAATTTCAATCCTATATGCATGACAAGTAAGCGTGTGGTCCGGAATACGTTGCGCAGATATATTACACACTTCAGATAATTTTCTCAACTAAAACTGCTCCAACTATAACGGTTGCCGGCTATGTTGCTTCGCTGCCTGCGAAGTAAATCCTCAGAAAGGTTCTTAAGAAAGAACGTGCATTGTCATTCCCGTATCGATTAAAGATATATATATGCATTATATGAACATAACTTTTCGTTTAATGGAATATTTTTGTTGTTGACATTTTACAACTTCATTATCGCATGTTAATTTCCATCACAATCCAATCCAATACTGATGGCTGATGTGTCCTAAGGAATATGAAACATTGGTTAATTCAAGCATCAAAAATGTGATTAGAAATGTTACATATGATGAACCGAATTTTTTGACGTGGACAGGACTCATAGTACTGGTAAGCGGTACTACTCATATATTTACTGCATTATTTAAATAATTTAAATCTTTAGGAGTAGGTGTATTTGAACGTTGAGTGTTTTTTTAAAATTCGTCAAGCCATATCATTTTATATTGAATTACTTTACTGCATACAAAGTAGTAGTATCGTTTGTTGAATGATGTTTCAAGCATAGTTATCTGTGCATGATGATGTGCGTTGGTGGCACAGTGGTTAGGACTCTCGCCGATCATGGACAAGGTCCGGAGTCCGAACCTCTGCTGACGCCCACCTGATATCTATGGTCGGCCTGCAAAATTTGGACTGCCGATATCTCATGCTGAAAATTCCTTAGCTGTACCAAAAATACGGTGTGGAATCAAGCTGTAATAAAAAATTTTCTCTAATGGGATGAGAGCAATTGTTATTTCCACTGGTTTTAGACGATTTTAGCTCTGCAAATGACTGTTTTCTCCGTTTTTTAAGGATTGTACTTGCAATACCAGTTTAGATGTTGTGTATTACATGTATATTCCAGGTATTTGATTCTATTCTACTTCGGAAACCTTCAAACACTATTTATGACTTAAAAACGAATTGTTTTCAGAGTGAAAAATCGATCCGTGTATATATTGTTTGACAGGCCTTATAGTTTGCAAGATATACGCTTGATACTTTGTCACCGTGCCCTTTTTGATTCATAGTAAAACAGTTAGAACGATATCTACGCTTCCCCAACAGACAATTTAGATTTAGGAAAAAATGATAAACGTAAATGGTCCTTATACTGAATATATATTCGCCTACATCATAAGGTATTTTGTGCATTGGTTGATGCAATATGTTACACAGAATTTTATTTACTTAATTGTTTGGATTAGTTTGGTGTTATGATGTGAAAGTCACTCAAGAAGCAATGTATAACTGCAGGTGACTATACTTCATAAATCACAAAAGAAGTCTCAGCGAATAGTTTTCAATAATTTCCGAACTCTAGAACTATAAGCAAAAGGAACAGAGGGGTACACTGTTTAATGAAAATTATAACTTTTAAGCTTGAAGAACTACTCAGATGCCTTCTTTATCAGTATGCAACTTGACTAATGCATATGCTTCGTTTACCTTGGATATAGCGTTTGTGGCACAGTGGTAGAGTGCATCAGGTGGTCCGGGGGTTCAATCCCCGGCCGGCGACGCACTGCTTTACCTCTCTAAACCAATAGTAAGACTGGTAAAGGGGGAAGGTCGGAGGGCATGAAGCTAGCAACTCCTTATCCTGTGAAAATAATCACCACTACTATAGAAACTTCAAGGCTGTAGCTTGAAGCCACTCTATGTTGCACTGGGAACGTAAAGGAATCAGAGAAATAACAATAACCTTGGATTTGGCAGGTATATATATATATATATATATATATATATATATCACTGTTTAGGCGTAATAATATGTTCACCTGATATTTTCTTTTTTTTAATTTTCATTTAGGATGAACCTCCTTATAACAAAGGAGCGTTTAGAATTGAAATCACATTTCCAGTTGAATATCCTTTCAAGCCTCCCAAAGTGATGTTCAAAACGCGTATATATCATCCAAATATAGATGAAAAAGGTCAAATCTGTTTACCAATAATCAATCCAGAGAACTGGAAACCAGCTACCAAAGTTGAACATGGTGAGTAGCGATGTTTAGTTGTAGTAGTAGTGTTAAGTGTAGCATTTGAAGGTTTCAACCGAGGTTTTTTTGTATGAGCGAAGGATTATAGTCAGAAGAGGGTAAAGCAGCAGTCTTTAATCTACCATTCGTTGATCACTAGGCCTTCTGAGTTGTTCATTCAAGTGTGATTTTTGTGTTTCTTTATTTCGTTTAAGCATAAGTGAATGTGCTTTTTTTCCTTCACGTTCCCCAGTGGAACATAGGGCTTCAAGCTAGTGGCTTGAAGTTTCTGTAGCAGTGCTTAATTTTACAGGATGGGGTTGCTAGCCTCATGCTTAACCTTTCCTCTTTACCAGCATCATTTCTGGCTTAGCGAGGCAAAGGAGTGCGTCGGCCGGGGATGGAATCCCGGACCATGTGCATGGTCGGTGAGCGTCTTAACCACTGTGCCACCGAATGTGCTTTACTTGAATCAAATGTAAGGTGATGCTATAGGTAGGACGGAAATACATCGAATCCTATTTTAAAGATAAGAAGTGAAATGGTAGAGCATGTTATTTGCGAAGTGGCATCAGTCCCAGTGGGCTGATAACTGAGGGAAATCTCAGCACGGATACAAAATACCTGTGTGACATTTCTCAACTTATCCCATCTCTGGCTTAGTAGATGTGATATCCGACTATCGATCAAAAGATGTGTGTGTGTGTGTGTGTACTGCTCAGCAGTTCCTCTTGGCCTCGTTTATAGCTGAGATTCAGCCATTGAAAGTGGAAGACATAAGAAGACTAGCTGTCTTCGACCATAGGTGTTTTGCTTTCTATTTCTTACATTAGATGGTATAATAGGGTGAGTAATATTGAGGTTAGGTAAGTAGGGGAAGTTTGTCAATGAAGTTGTGAAGCGACATCGATTGAGATGATGTCATCGTCAATGTTAGCGGATACAGGATTAGGTCGGAGAATAGTTAATGATGATCAAACCAAGGACTGACATCAGTCCATGAAATCTTTGACAGTTGGTTTGTGCCATGTAGGGAGGCGGCGTTGACTGCTTGGTTGGGTCCTCGGAATGCTGAAAGGCAATGGCTGGAGACACTTGTTGATATTCCTGAAAATCATTCTCAGTGGCACAAAGGCATTCACTCTTTGTCATTTCTCATATTCACTAAATCTCCATGTTATAAAGTCAGGAGTCAGTAGACAGGTAGTGAATAGTCGACTACAGGTAACTGTCACTTGAGCTATGCAGGGAAACTTTAAACCGATTATGGGCATCACCACTAATCCAGTAGCTTCTTTAGTTCCGCGATGTGTAACTCACTTGCTGGCATAACTATTTCCTGAAGTAGACAAAAACAATTCTATAATGCTACTATCAGATCTGTGTTTGAATATCATATATCAGTTACTTGCCTATGAGATTGGCTAGTGGTTGCTGCAGCCGGGAATTCATGGGCTACTGGATTGGGTCTCAGCAACAGTAACCGGAAAGTCCTGGGCTTGGATAGACTCGAGTGGATGCGTACTACTGAATAGTCGCAAATTATACTGACGAAGCAGCTAGCCAGTACTCGCAGTTGATTTTCAATGCTTCTCTAACTGTTGTCAACTTGTGCTCAAACCTGAATAGCATAAATCCACTAGTCTCTGTAGGTTAAAAGACCCGATGGACCCAATTAAACAAAATAATATAATTTACAAAATACCCTGCAATGACTGTGAGGTCAACTACATGGGTCAAACTAGTAGATCGGGGGTAGTCAGATTGTCAGAACATAAGAATTTAGCTAAGGTAAGGATGGTTGACCCTGAAAAGATAAGTAATTTAGGAAAAAGCTCAGCAATTGCAATGCATGCATTAACACACAACCACACAATAAGGTGGGAGGGTTAAAATTCTAAAAAGTAGTCTAGATAGGTGGAGAGAGAGGTTGATTATTGAATCCTTGTTCATCGAGTCTACACCAAACACATGCAACAGAAATGAATCAATGCAAATACCAGAAATATGGAAGATATTATTACCATCAGTCAGTCAAATCAGAGGAGGATAATTCTATTTCATTTCCAGCACATCACAACATTCTGACAAGTTGGTATACAATTGGTGGATGGTGGCTAGCAGTGGAATCCAGGATGCGCATTTCGTCCCATTTGGGACTCGCCAGCTGAATGTACCTGCATTTCTCAGTGAGTGATGATGTTCCCACTGAGGCTCGAACCCAGTGCCCATAGTTTCAAACGCCAAAGCGTTATGCACTAGACCACTTGGGCCACGAGAGCCACCTCTTGTGCAACGGGTCATACTAATTATTGAATTGAATTTTTGATTTTCCCGTCGCCACCATCCACCAATTGTATACTAATTAAATGCCCAGACATCGTCGAAGCATCTGCACAAGAAGCCGACATGTCAACCTGAGACCGAGCACTTCGGTCCAATCAACCGACGGGAAAATCAAAAATTCAATTCTAACAAGTTACTTATTTTGACTATAAAAACACTCGTCTTATTTCTCATCTGATTGTAATTGATTATTAACACTCATATTATTACGCCTGTGAAACTTGGCTCCTCCAAGCTGAGGATGTGCGGTGACTCTGCGTGTTCGATCATCGCCGTCTCCACAGGATTGCTTGCGTTCGATGGCATCATCGCGTGAGTAATTCCGAGGTTCGGCGGCGTGTGTTTGAACACAGTGGAGGTCACCATTCATTGAGTGTCGCCATCTGGGAAAGCCGGCTCCGGTGGCTTGGAAATGTGCTGCGAATGTCATCCCAGAGGAGGCTTCCGTACAGGTCTCTGTTCGCTAGCCAGCCCTGGAACTGGATGGAAAAGGGATGTTTGTGCTAGATTAGCATCTGTTGTTGCGTCACGACTCCCTGGTTGGGGTCCGCGAGATAGCTCGATACGTTATCAGATATGGCCAAGAATCGTAATCAATGAAAATGGCGAACGTATTGCAATTTCCTTCTTTCTTCCCTTCCGGTTGATAGTTAATGAATACTGTTTCGACTTGTTAAGTATGATTGTTTTCCTTCCAGATGAAGTTCTTTATCTGTTCTCTACTTATATTCTTTGCTTTTGATCTATGTTGTGTGTGGCGCATCTTTCTTGATGCCACATTGTACCAAGTTTTTTCTGCGTTTAAATAAATAAATAAATATATTATTATTTCTGAATGTACATTATCACATATTGATTTTTATTCAAATACCTAGTCATTCCACACATGTATATAAATGAAAGAAAAAGTTGTGTGAGTAGTGCTTTGATATGATTATGAGTGGCAATAGTTTCTGCTCGAAACGTGGTCATCAGTTAATATTACTGTGTAACACTGTGTGACTTATCAAAATAAAATCTTATTCAAATGGATTTATAAGGCTTTGGTGTTTTAAACGAGTGGCCCTGTGTTCAAATCTTAGTTGAGTCGAGTTCATTAAAATCCACTAGCTGACAAGTCCCAAATAAGACAAAATGCTCATCCTGGATTCCTCCACTATTAGTCACCATTCACCGAAATACTTCGAAGTTTTTTTTCGGAAAATCTTATCCATAATGGAGTTATACTCTACCACAGTGCCCAAGTTTTACACTTATATCCACTAGTCCAGCTTTGATTGCGTACGCTTTGATTTCATGGCGTACATTATTAAACAACAACGTTGGTTATATTCTTAGCATACTATCCCACACAGTGAATGTGTTTTGTAATTTTTCTGATAATATAATTGTAGTCGCGATATCTCATCACTCATCCTTGGTGAAGGTTTTAAATACCGTCGATTTACATCTTAAGAGTATTGATAGTATATGACAAGAACAAATCTGTCAGGTTGAACTTGTCTAATCTTATTTTTCTTTTTACTCCTTAATAAGATTGAGGATTCTACAAACAGCCACTATTACTTAGTACCATTTGAATAAGTAACTAGACGTGTTTAGTGTCTTAATCATCATCTTTATTCCCTTTCTACAAACTCTCTTGATCTCCAAATACTCATCGATTCAATACGTGTTTAATATCTAATACATCAGGGTAACACGTTTTCATGAATATTTCGTGTTTAATTTTTATAGGTCATTCTTTATCGACTATAGTAGTAGTTTATTTTTTCATTCACTCACATGATTGATAATTAATTATCTGTCAAAGTGTTGTAACGTCTCCTTTTTTCTTTCTTGTTTTACTACAGTGATTCAAGATCTTGTTGCAATGCTTCATGCTCCTGAAGTTGAACATGCTCTTCGTTCAGACCTAGCTGAAGAATATGCTAAAGATTTCAAAAAGTTTCATAAAAACGCAGAAGAGTTTACACGAAAATATGCAGAAAAAATACCAAATGTGTAAAAATTGTCTTACTACAGTTACAATGTTACATGTGTTGATGATGATCGCATGATTTCTTCTCATATATATTTAATCACTTTTTGTTTTTATTTTGGCCTTCCTCATTCTGTTTTCTGGATTCTAAGTGGTAGTTGTTTTTTCACAAGGGCGGGCGCCCTCGTCCGTGCTCGCTCGCATAAACGCACACACACACACACTTGCGCTCGTAGGAAGTTCTCTGATGGTCTGGTCTCTTCATCATGTTTCTCTTTTGTGTTGAAGGATTGTGTATATGTATATGTGACTAGACTAGTTGTTGTGTTCTGAAGATTGGGCAGTGCATCTTTATCCCTCTGACTTGTCTCTCTCTCTCTCCCTAACTCGTTTTGATTCTGACGGCTTCTTTCTTTTCGTGATGATTTTATTGCACTTTAAACAAACACATTACATTAACAAATGGGCGCTGTTATCCCGCATATATATATATATATATATATATATATATATATATATATGCGGGATATATGTATTTATGCATTTCGAAGCATGTCGTCAATGTGATCAGAACTCTTAAAGTCAGCATCTTGATATCGAATATTAATGATAATAATAATTATTATAATATTACTGTTTTACTTTCTGGTTATCATTTTTTCTCTCTAAAATTATGTTATTTTGTTCTAAAGTTATTGTTTCTTGTCTTGAATGTACTGAGTTTGTCTGAAATGCATAAATATATACATATGTATATGTATGCTATGGTAGGGATAGTTGCTGCACTGTTGTCGGGACGGGGGTTGTTGTTAAGTGTGGAGATTTTTCTATGAATATTAGGCTACCTTTTGAATGCTCAATTTGAAGTATAAAAGAGATCAGATTTTCATCAGTTTGATGACAAATTCATTGATATCAGTTAGAGAGAATCATCGAAAACCAACTGGGAGTACTGGACAGTTGTTTCGTCAGCCTGACTGACTGGTTTCAACATAGAACTTTGTACCAATGTGTTCGAGTTCAAGTCGCCACACTCCATGTACCATACTAAACCAGAGAAGAAATGCAAACCAGAGAGAGTATACAAGGATACGAGACAAAAGGAATAGTAATAGCGAAGAACAATGTAGTTTCATTGGAAATTATAAGTCACAAGGAGTGGATGCATCTTCGCGAGTTGCTGAGAGCAATACTGAACCATATCACGAATTGTCTCCAGCCTTCATTGGTTTCCACCAACCCGAAGAACACAGTCAGGAAGTCTACACCTTCCTACGTGGCTGGCTTAAACTCACTTGTGGATGTGACCGACTGATGAAGCCATGTTTTCGTTTGACAACCACTAGCTCTTTTGTAACCTAATCGTATGTCAGCCAGCTAACATTCCCTGCCAAGGAAGGCGATAGCTAGGCTAGACATGCGTAACACATGTCCTAACCATCTCAATCGGTGTTACTTCATAACTTTATCGATTGATTTCCACACCTTACCTAGCACTTGATCGACGCCTAACCTCGATATTGCTCACCCTATTATTCCACTTCACACGGGAGATAGAACTCACACACCAATGATCAAAGACAGCTAGCCAGGTCTTTCATGTCGTCCACTTTCAATGAGCATGTCTCACAGCCAGCCATAAAGGAGGACGGAGCGTGCTCTACGACTTCACTGCCTATTTCTAAACTAGGAGTCAGTGTAGTGCAGTCCTTCATCTTACATTTTGCGGGAGCGAATCGCTTGGTAAACATTCGAAGATTGGTGTTCCTGAAGGTGTGTTCAGAAGACTGAATTTTGTCAGCGCCTTCACCTAGAAAACCAACTTCGTCAGCCTAGTTTGGGCCTCATCATCAGTACGCGCACCTACCGAAGTTGCAAACCCAGGACGTTCAGGTGACCAGGCGAGCGCATAGAGCTATAAACTCTAACTTGTACCAATTGGTGATGAGTCAGAAACTAGGATGTTACAGATGTCCAGTATTCCCTGTTACGTTTCAACGCTTCTATATCTGATATGGACGCGTGATCAAACTTGAAAAGCATATCAGATTGTATTGCGTAATAGTCTTTTTCTCCCAATTATTGATTCTTTCATATTTAATGTGCAGTAATTTATCAGAAATGCTTCGTTGTTCCATTTTCATAATAGACTAGAGGTACTACTCAACGACTTAAGTTTTCAGCTTTGATGCGATAAATTAAAGCGATTAAGCCGTATATCCGTCCAAACTAACTTCACTTTTAAAATGATTTGAAGTAATAATGATGCCTCAAGCCACCTATGTCCTTCCAACCTTACTTTTATTTTTATACGTAGATTCCTGTATTTTACCTTTGCTAACCTTGACTTCTTAACTTTCGACAGCCTTTCGCCTTTGTCGAGATTCCCAGCCTATCTGTGTCGTTTCGAGATGTTACTTAGTAACCTTCAAAATGGTTGTCCCCAATGTGACATCTAAAACATATCCTGAAATCGCGTGCCGCGTTCAAGCTGGCCACCTACAATGTTCGGACGCTGATGCAAATCGGACAACAGGCAGGATTGGTAAGAACTTTGGAAAGCCTCACTATCGATGTCTGCTGCATCTCAGAGACCCGCATTCAAGATCCCAGTGAAGTGCTTCGATTATCCTCTCTATCTGAAAGTTCTAGTAGTATGTACCACCTGCGCTTTTCGAGGGACCATGTGGCGTCGGCGTCCGGCGTAGCTGGTATCGGTGTCGCACTGAGCGCTAGAGCTGAAGCTGCATTGCCCGACTGGATTCTCATTAACAGTCGTTTATGTGCTGTGAGGCTGGAAGGTTAAAGGAGAGTGAGGAGTAGTAGGCCAGATAGGCGGTGTCTATTTGTTGTCTCTGCCTATGCATCGAGGGATTGCAGCCCAGGTGCTGTCTGTCTGTCTGTCTGTTTTCGACATAGAACTTTGCACAAATGTGCGGAAGTTCAAGTCGCCACATTCCGTGTAGCACGCGAAGCAAGAGAAGAAAGTACAAGAAAAGCATAATAGAAACAGTAAGCAGAGGTGTGAGACAAAGGAGTAATAAAGAAATACAAAACAGTTTCATTGAAGATCATAAGTCACAGGGAGTGGATGCATCTGCGCCACTGAGAACGATTTTGAGCCATGTCACCAATTGTTTCCAACCATAGATTTTTACCGTCCCGAGGACCCCAGCCTGGAAGTCTACACCTTTCTACGTGGCTTAGACCAACTGTTGTGGATTTCATTGACTGATGCCAAGTTTTTGTTTGACCTCCGCTAGCTTTTTTCCAGCCTGATCCTATATCCGCTAACATTGCTCGTCGAGGGAGGCGATGGCGTGGCATACGCAACACATGTCCTAACCATCTCAGTCTTTGTAGCTTCACGACTTCGTCGATTGATTTCCCCTGTTTACCTAGAACTCTACGCCTAACCTCCATGTTGCTCACCTTATTATGCCACTTTACACGGGAAATAGAACGCAGGCACCTATGATCAAAGACAGCTAGTCTTTTCATGTCTTCCACTCTCAGTGGCCAGGTCTCACAACCATAAAGGAGGACGGAGCGGACTGATGAGCAGTACACCCGCCCTTTGGTCGATAGTCGAACATCTCGTCTACGCCAGAGTCGGCGTAAACTAACAAATGCGAAACGAGCCCCTTGTATTCGTGCTGAGATTTCGTCAGAGATCAGCCCGTTGGCACTGGCTGATGGTACTTCCCAAATAAGTGAAGCCCAGGTGCAATGAAGGATGAGTTCTACTACCAACTGAGCGATCTCTTGAAACAGGCGGGTCGGAGGGATATCGTAGTGCTGGCTGGGGACTTGAATGCACAGGTTGGGCGTCTAAGCTCAGAGGAGAATCGTCTAGGTGGTCAGTGGGGACTACATGGTCGCAGGTCAGATAATGGGGACCGTCTTCTGCAGCTTTGCGCGGATCACAACCTATTTCTAGCTAGCACCAACTTCCGGCACAGCCATCGCCGTAGCGCTGGCGTCCTCCCTCTGCGAAGCAAGCTTGGACTCAGATTGATCATATTGCGGTCAGTTTCCGGTGGCGAGGATGCATACAAGACTGTCGCTCCTTCTGGAGCACATGCCTGGACTCCGATCATGCGTTAGTGTGTGCCAAGTTCGTCTTGCGATTTGGTGGGGTTCGTAAAAGCCGTTGTCTAAGCGTTGATGTGAGCAAACTAGTAGCACCTGCTACTTCTTTGAAATATCAGAATGAGTTAAAAACAATGCTTGCCAGCAACCCCCCAAGTAGTATAGATGAACATTGGCTTCATGTGCAAGGTGCCATGCAAAAGGCGAGTGTAGCCGCTTGCGGCTTGAAAGAATGCTCCGCTAACAACCACTGGGTTTCTGCGAGTTCCTTGCAACTCATGGATGAACGCCGGTCCATTCCGGCTGGCAGCGAATACAACAATCAGCGAAAGGCGCTCACGCGCAAGATTAGACAGTGTTTACGTAAGGACCGCGAAGCCTGGTGGTCAGAACGTGCGTGTGAGATGGAGTCAGCTGCTGCATCTGGCAACAGTCGGAAGCTGTTCCAACTCATACGAGCCACCGGCAGCAAGAAACAAGGTGTCAGCGAGACGGTCTGTGAGGCAGATGGCACTCCAATTACCAGCCTGAAAAGACGCCTGGAACGCTGGGCAGAGCACTTCGGGAAGCAGTTCAGCTGGCCACCAGCTTCAGTGTCTTTATCATTAGGAGTGCTCCTTGGTCGGTTAGTACCGACCCACCCACCGAAGCGGAGGTCCGTAAGGAACTCCAAGTTCTGAAACGCCAGGCGCCCGGCCCAGACAAATTACCCTCTTTTTAAAGATGGTGGCGAGACTCTCACAATGGCTCTAACTGGGTTGTTCAGGAAGGTGTGGGAGACAGAGAGTGTACCATCAATGTGGAACGAAGCCATTATCGTCCCCATCTTTAAAAAGGGTCGACGTAATTCGTGTGACAATCATAGGGGTATCAGTCTGTTACCAGTCGCGTCTAAAATATTGGCTGCTGTCTTGCTTCGCAGACTGTGCAAAATACGTGAAGGATTGATTCGCGAAGAGCAGGCTGGGTTTCGTTCAGGTCGTGGATGCATTGATCACGTGTTCACCCTTCGTCAGTTGTTGGAACACCGCCACACGTATTGCAGGCCAACGATCGTTGTGTTTCTTGATATTAGGGCTGCCTTCGATTCGTTGGACAGAACTGTGCTCTGGAACTGTCTGTTAGAGAGAGGTGTACCTGAGAAATTTGTTAACATCTTGAAAGCCCTATACAGAAACACCTCAGGTAGAGTGAGGGCATACAACCAACTATCACCACTGTTCCCAACCAACAGTGGGGTTAGACAGGGTTGCCCAATCTCTCCATTTCTCTTTAACTTTGCCATCGATGACATTCTGGAGTCAGCTCTGAAGGATGTGCGTGAAGGTGGTGTAGATCTGCTACCTGGAGATAGACTTTTCGACCTCGAGTATGCAGACGATATCGTCTTACTGTGCGATAGCATGCAGGCTGCCCAAATCGCACTTAATCAGTTGGCGATCAGTGTCTGTAAGTATGGTATGTGCTTTGCGCCGTCTAAGTGCAAAGTACTGTTACAAGATTGGCAGGAGCCTGTACCTGCACTCACTCTTGCGGGTGAACCGCTTGAAGTTGTTGATAAGTTTGTGTACCTGGGTAGTTGTGTGAGTGCTGGCGGAGGGGTGACGGATGAGATTTCCAACCGTATAATGAAGGCTAGGGTGGCATACATCAACTTGAGCCACCTCTGGCGCCGTCGCGACGTTAGCCTGGCTGTCAAAGGTCGGGTATACAATGCTTCGGTGCGGGCTGCCTGCTCTACGCCTGTGAAACCTGGCCTCTCCGAGCTGAGGATGTGCGGCGACTCTGCGTGTTCGATCATCGCTGTCTCCGCAGGATTGCTTGCGTTCGATGGCATCATCGCGTGAGTAATTCTGAGGTTCGGCGGCGTGTGTTTGAACACAGTGGAGGTCACCATTCATTGAG